TCAAGTAGTTTGTTTGCAGCTGTTAATTTTGTTTAAGTGTGTTTTTGCGATTTTTACTATGGATGATGTTATCGAACAAAAAGTTTGTCTAAATTATTTTGTACTACCAACGGAATTTCTTATGCTGAATCGTTGAAAATGTCAGGAAAGGCGTACGGTAATTTAGTTTTATCGAAAACTAAAGCATAACCTATTTCAATAATTTTGGACAAAACCTTTCTTAGCAAATAATTATTTGTATCATATACCACGTACCAAAATTTGGAGATTATTCTTCAGTCTTTAGTCTGTTGTTTAGAAAATCATTTAAACATGAATAAAAGAACACATTGATTTAATAAATATGTGTCACGGTGAACAAACTTATTTACTACTTTTAACAACAGTTTGAAACACAGTGACTCAAAAGTTTGTATTTCTATGCGATGGAAACAACGCTTTGAATCCAGATAATAAGAAACAAAACTGAGTAATCATTATTTACCCGTTAACGGCGTAGAACGATAACTGGCACCTAATATTTGGAACGATATTATGCGTGGAACTGAATGGCCAAGAGCAAGCCGCAAATCACGACTGGCTAAATATGCAAAAATGTAAACTCGGTAAAGTAGAGCAATTCCCATTGCAACTAAAGTTCAACTAAAAACATAAACCATGATCTGAACCCGCCCGTGGGTCTCACGATGATTTAAAGCCGTTTATTGGATATTCACCGGAAACTGAGAATGATTTTATTATTTTGACTAAAAAGGAAATGCATGATCCCATCAAACCAAAGATAAATTTGATTTCACGAAAAAAAAACGTTTTAGGTACCTATTGAATAAATTGAATGTCGTTTTTATTCTTATTAAAATATCGATGTAACTACAGTGACAATAAGTAAAACTTGTTCTGTCTCTGCATTTATCAGTTGTTGATTTAATATATTGAACAAGAAATTGTTAATGTTTACTTTGGTAAAAAATAGTGACAGTTGCTAGAACAATTATTACGTCAAAAGTTGTTAAATGCAAAATTGGTTTAAAAATCTTAGTTTTAATACTGGAATATGTGTATTTATTTTATACCTATATCTGGGAAACTATTGAAATAATCGCACCAACTTGAAAACGTCTGGTAGCATTGGCGAAAAGAGATTTCTGTTTACGTTTGTTGAAACTTACATTACTCGTTCTGCGATAAACGTCGATTAACACCAATGTTGAAATGAATTAATGGTAATTTTTTACGCATAATGATTAAATAATTACAGGTGTTGTTTAACGTTTGCCACGTTAATTATAGATGAGTTAATGTTACAAAATAGAAAAGACTAGTAGCTGGTAATACGAGTTCAATTTCTATTAATATAAAAGCAATTAATTTAAATGGCAGAATGACGATTTCTTAAAAAAATATTCCATCAATGAGGAAAGCCTAAAACTTTTAGTGTGTAAACACTACGGCCTTAAGAGCATATATCTCTTAAACACTACTATTCTGAATCTACAGCCTTCAGAAGTATCGAATCCTCGTGCTCTAAATGGTTTGAAATCCAGGCTAAAACATTAATAAAAATAACTTAAGAAAGATTCAATGGCAAATTGTGAATTGTATAAATGACAAATCTGATAATGTTGTTCTCTCAAGGAATTCGAACTACTAGGCAGGTTTAGACTTTATTTTTTTTATTCCTGCGTAATAACTTAAATTAAATCATTTATATGAGAACATATATTTTTGTCCACTTATGTGTATCGGTCTATTTTCTTCTTGATAATTTTAAATCAGTTTTGGCATTTGTTTTCAAATAAGTAACTTACTAAGAAAATAAATACCAAATTCATAACTTTTTTTAGATTACAGTAAGCGATATTTACCAAACGAACGTTCCTGTAAATTCACTTGCAATGCTTATCAGTACGGTTTTTTCTAACAACGAAAAGAAAGACAAATCTGTTACTTTGAAGCCTCTTTCCGTTAAGGCTAGCATAGCATCTGTATTGTCAGTGATATACTGCATACTGCTGCTTTTGTATGAACTAGAAAACTGCACAATTTATCAACAGTCAGAAGTAGTTTGTTGTACGGTGGCTCAACATAAATATAATGTATCTCAGTAGTACACCCGTTAGCCGCAGTATCAGTTTAGTTTAATTGTTATTGTGCCCATATACTCATTGTCAACTCATTATTTTCTGTGTCAGTGAATGCTAACTAAGGTGCATGTGACAAAATAACATTCGTTATGTAAAGGTAACATTCGTGTGCTTAAAATGCTGAGGAATTTTCGAAAATCCAAAATTATTAAAAGCTTCCAAACAAATATTACTTCATTTAACAAGATTTTCTATATCCTCTCTACAAGCGCTTTTTTTAGGAGTGTAAAGGCGAGTACAGACTGTTGTCGAACGTTCATCAACAACACAGACTAACTATTCGCTCAGTCTGAATCCATTTTTCCAAAGTATATTTACGTAATCTAGTTTTGAAAATAATATTCTAGCAGACAATCTGATTATTTCGAACCAACTTCACAAATAGAATAAAATCTTGAAAGTCAATACAGCATTTTTGTTTTTTTAAATCTAATATGCAAAAAATAACAATTGAATAATAGCTGTTTTAGCTTCCATCTAATGAAACAGTTACCGGAGAGATTAATATGACCCTCCGGTATCATCTACTACCCACATTAAATGCTTTAAATAAACACGGGTTATTACAGTGTGACATCCATTTATTAATTTGCATAGTCAACGCTAAGGAGTTGTTGCGAGTTATTACAGGTAGTGCAAAAGTACCTAGTTTATATTTCACTTAGCGAACTACTCCTAAATAATTTATTGATAAAGGAAAACTGTAAGGAAAACTAATGGTGAATTTATAACTGTAATAGAATAATAGCGTATATCTGTTTGCCATAAATTGGATCAGAGAAAGAGAAACTAATAAATTTAGACAACAAAAATTATATAAATAACATTTTGTTATATTGTAGTTTATTTTGTAATTTGAATACAATAGTCCATATATCTATATTGTTGTTCCTAAAAGTTAAATGTGCTTTGAGCTCTAACTGTAATAATGCATTACGATTTCGCTATTGTTAATTATTATTAATATTTACGTACACGCAACAAAACAACATAATAAAATAGAATAGAAAACATATTATGAAGTTTTGATATTTTATTATCGGCAGCTGATAGTAGGTCTCTTTATTCAATTGTTTTACACCCACAATACATACGAATATACAGGGTGATTCAGTCATAATATCATTAATGTTAAGGGAAAATAGGGAAAAATTAGTAGAATACGCGATTAAAAAAAATTTAAAATGCATAAATGCGAAAAAAAATTATCTTCAAATCATTATTTAAACCTTTTTTTCGGAATGCTCCTGACCGCTGACCTTCAAAGGTTTATCGAGAGTGAATCTTGATCTATCGTATTCGATCATCAACCTAGGTTTGACTGTTTTTAATAGTGAACGACAAAAACAGACCTTTTTACCTAGACACATGCAGATTTTTTTTTCATTTTAAATATATATTAACAAGTATTATTTATTTGTTAATAAAAACAAATGTATAAGAATATTAATTGTTTTCGAATGTTAGGTTATTAGTAGTATAGTATTTTTAATATTAACATTTTCACTGTTTTATAACTGAACATGAGTTTTTAGTATTATCTTCAATTAATTATTCTGTTTGTAGTACGTATACCTTATTGTTTTTCAGAGAGTAGTATGGTACCTACCCATTTAAAATTGATTTTGAAACCTATTGCAAAATTCAACGAATTCGACGACTGGGGAAATCAGCTTTTTCGCTTCAACGTTTGAACGCTTTGTAGTATAAGTTAGCCCTATAAGAATATATCCACAAATGTTAAAGTTATTAACCTATTTCATTTGATTGTTTCGTGTTGAAAGTCTACGAATGAATTTAATATATCCTTTATGTACATACATTACATTATCTTTCATTTAGTTGACTTAAGGGACTGGGATTAAATTTAATGACGTAATACATAATAATGAACAACTTATGAAAATATCTACATTTGCCTTCCGTTACTATTCAGCCTCTGTCGGTGTTAATTCTTAGCAAACACTACCGATGAGACGCTGTTGAATCAAGAAATCTAGGAACAGGTGATACTCAAAATACAGGTAGTACATCCAGGGTCACTGACACCATTATGTTCACTATTTAAACGGGTGGTATACCTGAAATGCGGAATATGAAGAGGCTTGTGTCAGGCTATACGTTTGTAAATCAAAACACTCATCGTAAGTCGTCATGCGTCCGCTGCTAAGCGAAGAACTGTTTGTTTCTATGTTTATAAAATAACTTGCACCATATAAAGCCAAATTATTTGACCCAGGCAATGGTTTTTGTGGCAGAAGCGTGATGATTTAATTAATTACTACCTTAATAAGATTTATTATGAATCACGCCTATAAGTAACGGCATCTCCATATGGAAACATCAGGTTTACGCGGAGATTAAAGATGCAGACAGTACGGGAGAAGAGACTACTACCTACATTATCCCCACAGATTTTTTTCTGTATTTATTCTCACTTTTTTCAGTCTGTTTGACCTACAAGTTAATGTATACTATATCGTCCCATCTTTAATACCTTAATTAATTTTTTAATGGCAACAGGTAACCCATCTTACAGATAATTGAGGTTGTTTAAGTTAATATTTAGTTTAATATCGATACCATCGACAGGTACTTACAATCCTTGAAGTATAAATTCTTAAAAATACAACATAAGCCGACAAAATGTGGGTGGGTTTCTAAATCAGACACTAGGTTGCATTTTCCATAGGTTTTTGACGCGCTGAATCAGAATCCGATTTCAGAATTGGTCCACCAAGCCGGATTATTCTCCATTGTTTTGATTCAGTAAACCTAACATTATTTTATATATATAAGAAACTCTGTTGGAAGATAGGCGCCCTCAAATATTACAAATCACAAGAAGAGCCTTACCTGATCTAACAGATTCCTTATCGTCGTCCTCATCGCTATCGATGTGGGGAATGGAACCGACAAATTCGAACATTGGACTAGTTTGAATGGAAGTGTCTTTCTTAATGATGGGACTCTCAGGTAATCTACAAGAACACTGGCACGCACAAGCCGTCACGTCATCCTCCTGCCTATCCAACGGCAGGTACTGCAGACACTGAGGACAGGGAAACGTCAGATCGTCCAGGGGAACGCGTTTGATGGCGTGCTCCACGGACACCAGTAGGTTCTGGAGGAGCTCCGGAAGCTCCACGCCGTCGTAGTCGTCGTAGGAGTTGATCTCGAGATCCGATACGGATCTGATGCTCGAACACATTATGTCATCTAAGGAGTGTAGGGGGTCGCGAAACTCGGCTATGGTATGGCAGTGCACCTGTTGCTGTTTTCGCCAAGTCAGCGCGATCTCAAGACCCGGAGCGCTGCGGCTTCTGACGCACAGGTAGCAGTCCCTATTCCGGACGACGGAGGGATCGAGAGGGCCAAGATGGACGACTACACCAGATCGGCCAAGGCATAGTGGCCATCCTGATGGCGAGGAGCTGTCGCAGGAATGTGCATTCTGGAATTAAAGAAACAGTATTAGAATTAGGTACTACCAAACGATTTTGATAACATGGTAAGCCTCCATTGGTGTCAAACCAAAGTTTTCTCGCTTATTTTGTGACGAAGTGAAAGAAACAAAATTGTAGGAGACTAATATCAAAGTTGCGAAAACAAGTAAGCATACAATTGTAGACAAACATAACCCAAAAGTATCTTTTTTTTAATGGAACATAGCGATTGTAGTGATAAAAGGTATGATGAGTCTACATCTAACTGTAAGGGAGATATGATGAAAAGGATATGTCACAAACTTAATCCACTAGAGATTATCAGAAGGTGCTTTGCTTCTCAACCAATACTCTATCTAACGAATTGCTCTTATGGCTCTCTTCTGGCCACATCTCGCTTAATAATGATTTTTTTCAGGTATATTTTTATAATAGAAAGTGGTTCATAATATAAAATGGGTATAGATATATGTGGACACATGAGTTCCTCAATGTTCCATTCTTGGTCCTTTAATATTCATTATATTCATCAATGATTTAGTTAACAACTTAGATATAAATTTTCTTCTTTATGCCGATGATGTAAAAATATACAGTCCAATTCATAGAGTTACTGACTGTGCTCAGCATCAACAAAACTTTGATAATACACTAATGCAAAAAAATAAAGGGTCAAAAGAATTTCTGAAATTTTTCCGTGATTTTTGACAGACTGTATTTAGGTGAAAAACGGTCGTATCGCGAATTAAAAAAAAAAGCGTTTTGAAGCTCTAAGTTTCTAGGTTTTAGATCTTTCGGTCGAAATTTTTTACGAGCTACGATTATCAGGCATTTCTAAGATAAAGAGCGACAAAAAAATTTTGAAAATTCTCCACGGACTTGGCAAAATGTTTTTCAGCTAAGCCATTGCATATATCAGATAGCTTGTTTATTCAGCTTCAATTTCCTTTTTTTTAATTTCGATACGACCATTTTTCATCGAAATATCGGACTTTTAATGGAAAAGTATCTTTTTATCTTTAATTATCGATATCTCGGCGACAAATGGTCGTACAGAGGATTGAAGGACAGTTTCAAATACTGGAATAAATGTCTGTAACATGATGCCGCAACTTTCCGAATTTTTTTTTTATCTTTTACACGAATTTTAAAAAGCAGAAGAAAAAAAGTAATTTATAGTTTTTTAGCCAGAAGAACCCTGTGAAGTTTCATCTTGATCTAGCGAACCGTTTCATTGTTTCAGTCAAACTTTTAAAAAACATTAAAGGGTCACGTTTTTTGAGGTTAAACACTTCATAATCATGGTTAAAATAGAAAAAATTTTTTTTTGAGCTTTTCTCACATTTTTACCGCAAATAACGTTTGAATGATTGAAAAATTTTCGAAAAATTTCGAAGTTTTTTTTGGTTTTTTGAAAAACCTTCCGGACATTGAAGAAAACAAAACCCAATTGTTTCCAGCACGATTCGGCTTTATCGTCCTATGCATCTGTTCATCAACTTTTAATTAAATTAAAATTAAAGTTGATGACCCAAACCAGATTTTGACCCCGATTCATACCGTTTTTTGAGACAAATTTCGAATTAATTTTTGTGCAGTCTATAATCACTTAAAAAAACAGTTTTTTTTCAAAACTACCCTTTTTCTTCTCTGAAAAAAAATTTCAATTTTTTTCATCAATTTAAACGTTACCTATTTGCGGTAAAAATGTGAGAAAATCTTTTAATTTTTTTTTCCATTTTAATCATGATTATGAAGTGTTTAAGCTCAAAAATCGTGACCCTTTATTTTATTTTTTTCAAAAGTTTGACTGCTCACTAGATCGGGATGAAACTTCACAGGGTTCTTCTAGGTCATTCTTAGTAATTTCGCCGTCAATTTTCTAAAAAACCATAAATTACCTTTTTTTTTCTTTTTTTTTAAATTCTTGTAAAAGATGAAAAAGCAAGTCCGTGGAAAAAAAATTGAATATTTTGCAAAATTTTTTTTTCTTAGAATTAATAACCGTAGCTCCTAAAAAATTTCGACCAAAAGATTTAAAAACTAGAACCTTAGAGATTTAAAATGCTTTTTTCTTAAATTCCCGATACGACCATTTCTCACCTGTCACAGCAGAAAAATTTCGGAAATTCTTTTGACCCTTTAATTTTTTGCATTAGTTTATAAAATCTTGCTCTAATAATAATAGGCTAATATTCAATACTGAAAAATGTATTGTTATGTTCCAACAAGTCCACCAACATTATGTTTAATTACAATATTGATAATGACATTTTGCCACGAACAAAAACGTTACAGGTATATAAAAAATTTTATTTATCATTTATCTGCAACAAGAAAAGATTTATTAAAATATAAGTTATAGAATATTATTGGACCTAAATGTGTTACAATTGCAAACAAATTGAAAATTCAAGGGTAAAATACACTTAAGTATAGAAAAATATAAAATCATGGCCGTNAAGGTATGATGAGTCTACATCTAACTGTAAAGAAGATGTGATGAAAAGGATATGTCAAGAACTTAATGCACTAGAGTTTATCAAACACGGTTTGCTTCTCAACCAATACTCTATTTAACGCATTGCTCTTCTGGCTCTCTTTTGGCTTCATCTTGCTAATAAAGATTTTTTTTAGGTATATTTTTATAACGGAAAGCGGTAAATAATATAAAATGGGTAGAGTAAAAGATACGTGGATATGTGGATACATCAAGAGTTCCTCAAGGATCCATTCTTGGTCCTTTATTACATTCATTAATAATTTAATTAACAACTTAGATATAAATTTTCTTCTTTATGCCGATGATATTGAAAAATGTATTGTTATGTCGTCCAACAAATCCACCAACATTATGTTTAATTACAATATTGATAATGACGTTGAAACGTTGTTACAGGTACATAAAAATTTTTATTTATCATTTATCTGCAACAAGAAAAGATCTATCTCTATGTGCTTTATTAAAATATAAGTTATAGAATATTATTGGACCTAAATGTGTTACAATTGCAAACAAATTGAAAATTCAAGGGTAAAATACACTTAAGTATAGAAAAATATAAAATCATGGCCGTAACAACTTTTTCTGTTATTGCCACTAATGCGCAGAATTAGTATTTTACAAAAACCTTCGATGGGTAGTTAGATACAAACATCATTTTTCTTCTCGATGGCATAACTAAGGCTTGTCTAAAATAATAAAATAATTACCGCTGACTAAAAGGAAGCAACGCATTAATCTATCATATTTTCGCTAAGGTGATATTTTATCCATTAGTTAGTATATCACTTGCGAAACAATTTGCTAAGTTGGAAATATAATTTTAACAGCCATAATGAAAGTTTGAGAGTCAAGTACTTCAGGAAGCTATTAATCAAAGAACAGAACATTTAAATGTCTACAGATATGAACTAGCTCCGATCTTATTTTTTGATGCATTAATCTTGTTCCGATGTATCAACTGTGCGAAGAGCAAAATTTATTTTTTTTTGCAGCGGGAACCGAAGCTTTCAGTTTTAGTTAGGGAAAGTAAGCAATTAGCGAATATGTAAACTAATTTCTTACCTTCTTGCCCAAACATAGATTACTGTGCCTTCTCCTACATAAAAGGTAAATCATTTACTTCCTAATAACCAAATGTTTTAGATTTCGAGATAACAGTTTAGTTTGCAGAGACATATCGGGATTAAGTTAGATAATATTTCTATTGGAAGTTGTCATGATCTTAAGGTTGGGGAAAAAAATAGTAAATATTATGTAATGCATTAGGTGTAGTTACCATAACAATCATTTATTCAAGCAGAATATTGTGTAACTTAATGATTTCTGCCAAATTGGTAAAAAATGTTACTGTATCTTCAAAAAAATTATGCAGTTGCAAATCTTCAATATCAAAAATACAGTTTAAGTTATGCGTTTTTTCTATTTTTTTCAAAAATTCCTTAAAAATATGAATTAGAGGAATATTACGACATATTGGATATATTACGTTTTTTTAGATTTATAGCACATTGCAAATGATAACACTGAACATTCTCAGTTACATATTCGTAAATTTGAAATATTTTTGAATTAATAGAAATCTTTGATGTGTGATCCATAGAGATAAGCTAGTAGGTTGGTATTGAACATTTTTGTCCCAATCAGATAAATATTTACTTTAACTTTCAGAAAATTCCATTCTCAAATCACTAGGAGTAACAAATACTTGTTAGCAAAAGTTATCGATGTTCATTTGTTGATTCTTATAACTGATTGAAGGTTGTGACAATAGTACACAAAAACTATTGGCTTGAATTTAATGATTTTGTTACATCCTTACAACACGACTGAGTGAATCTTTCGTTTGTTGATAAAAGAGAATTTCCCTAATAGTCCAGTTACTCAGGGTTTTTACCTCCGAATTCTCTATAACTGAACCGATTGACCTGAAATTTTGACTGAATGTGGGGAATGCCTCAAGGAACAAAACTTATATACTGCCGAAGTGTGCTTTTGCCCCGGGGGGTGGTTCCCACCCCTTCTTGGAGGTGGAAATTTTTACGCCCAAAATAACCACAGGAATCGATAGAGGAGTCAATTTTAAGTAACAAATGTTATATACAGTTTTTTGGATGATCCAATACTTTCCGAGTAATTCGTCATTGAAATTGTTGATTTTTTACTGAAAAAGTGTTTGTTTTCGGACTGTTTTTTGCAAATAACTCTGAAACCATTGGATTTAACGAAAAAGTTGTAATAAGCAAAAAGAAAGGTAATCAAAAAACAAATTTAATCTAATTATTTGGTTATGGACTTTTAAACATTATTATATGTTAGCTAAAAACTTGGAACCAGTTAACGTGAAATAACGCCAAAACCATAAATATTAGAAAAAAAACTATTCGAACCTTTTTTAAAGTACTTTGAAAAAACTTTAAAATGAGCTGTTTTAAAAGTCTTTAGAATCAAAATTAACGGAATATGATTTGAAATAACATGATATCAATGCCTTTGGCGAC